GCAGGGAGAAGGAGTGAATGGGGAAGGCATCCAGCCTGGAGCAGGATTCTCCAGCACTCAGGGGCAAGGCTGTAAGTGCCCGCTAAATAATGAATGGAACCAGTCAGCTCCGCAGGGAATCCCTGGAGCCTCTATTTCTGAGATTGTTGAATTATTGATGGAAAATATGTGATGTTCTGGCCCGAGCTGACAGCTGGAAGACAAGCCGCTGCAATTTAAATTGATTCTGCCCCCAATAAAATGGAGGCCACTTTCTGATTTTCAGAGATGCTCAAGGTCCCCATGGGCAGAGAGGGTGAGGGGGTCCAGGTTTTCCAAGGGTCCATGACTCTCCCTCAGGTCTGGAAGCAGCAGGAGACCTTGGCCAGAATGATGGGCTTACCCAGTGCTGTTTCTCACTTATGTGTGAGTCCCTGGGGACCCTTGATACTTCCTTCACGTCTCTGAGCACTTCTCAACAGCTCCATGCCCTGCTCAGATCTGCTCCATCTGGCTGACTTCCGGTTGCAGCTGGGGCTTGGGTAACAAAGCACCCCAACCTGGATGGCTCCAACAACAGAGCTCTACTGTCTCAATTCGGGAGGCTGGAAATCTGAGACTGAGGTGTTAGTAGGGCTGGTTACCTCTGAGGGAGGTTCTGTTCCAGGCCTTTCTCCTTGACACTAACGGTTTGTTGGCAATCTTTGGTATTTCTTGACATGTACATGTATCGTCCCGATCTGCACCTTCATCTTCACATGGCACTCTCCCTGAGTGTGGGTCTATCTCCATGTCCAAATTGCCCCTTCTCGTAAGAACACGGTCATGTTGGACTAGGGCCCACTCCAGTGACCTCATCTTAACTTGGTCAAGTGTTTGATGATCCTATTTTCAAATAATTATCCAAATAAGAGTCCAGAAGATTCTATTCATTTTGCAATTGATATCAAATCAACACATTGTACACCTTAACTTTACACAATGTTGTATGTCAATTATATCTCAATAAAGCTGGGGGAGAAGAGGAAGAAAAACAAAAAGACCCTATCACAAAATAAGGTCACATTTGCAGGTACTGGGGGTTAGGACTTCAACATCTTTTGTGGGGGACACAATTCAGCCTATAACCAAGCCCTTTATACCAGACCAGGCTTCCTTTTCTCTGCACTGCCTCCTGGCCTCCATCGATGTAGAAGACTCTGCGTTCTACCTATCTCTGGAACTTTCTTCCCTCACCTATAAAACACATGCCCTGAACTAGGGATCTCTAAGCTCTTCAGCACTAAGAATCAGGACAGGCAGGCAGAAATCAGGCAGGAAGTATGTGCTATGTAGGATGATATCTATTTTCCCATGAGACAGGTTCTTGGGTATAAACTTAGGGTCCAGCACACTGCCTGGAGTATGAAAGGTGCTCAACAGGTATTTGCCAGCTAAATAGAAGGATCAATGAATTACTGAATGTCATGGAAATGCAATGTTTTCATAAGTTCCATTGTCTTTACCTGATCTGAGACAAGCTTAAGGAATAGGATTTCCTACAGGCTAGTTGACTAGATGGACACAGCTGCAGCACTGGGGGGCCTGAGAGCAGGGACCCCGGCAAGGAGACCGAGGCTGAAGGCTCTTCTCAAACAAGCTTTGTCTTCCCGCTTCTCAGATACTCTTTTCCAGCTACTGCTCACTTGTCCTCGTGTGGACACACCCACTCTCTCTGGCATTGACTCAGCACGGGAAACTCTAGCATGTAGCCATGGCCCCATCCCAGGAAGATCTCCCAATAAAGGGGAAAAACACGGGAAGGGAGGAAAACGCCAGGGCATGGCGTCACTGCGCCTGTTTGCAGGGGGCAGAATTCAAAAGAATGAAAAAAGAATCCCTCAGTGATGAAAAAAAAAAAGTGAGATTTTCTTTCTCCCTCTACAATTTCTCCTTGTTGTCCTTCTCCCACCTTCTAGAAGTAGCTCCCCCTTGCCCCTGCCCAGGAATAGAGAAATGAGAAGGTGGAATAAGTACAGGGAAGATAGAGGCAGAGGGAAAGGCATGGCCTAGAGAATGATTAACAGAGTTCTGGGGAGTTTTTCCTCTTTACCAGAAAAGGGAGGAAATTATGATGTACTGGCATTTCCACAAAAGAGAACTGGAACATTCTAGGCTCTCCCCGCCCCACAAAGCCCTTGCATAACTACCTTTCAGACCCTTTGCTTTTCAGAATGGCTTCGCCCTGGGTCCCCGGACCTCCCTCCTGGTCGGATAACTGCCTCGGGAGCTGGCCGGGGATAGGGTACAGCTTCATTCGGGGAGCAGGTATTGAGGTCACGGGGCAGTGCGGTGCTGGGGATTAGGGAGGCCAAGATGGGAAGGCAGGGTCTCTGCCCGCCCGCACAGGCTGTAACACAGGAGCTGAGACTTGGAGGATAAAGAGGGGTTCACCAAGCAGAAAAACAAGGAGGACCTTCCGCCAAAGGGAACGGCATGTGCGAAGGAGCCCTGAATGTTCTGTCAGCCAGAAGCAGTTAAGTATTGCTGGACTGCTCGGTTCAAGGTGGGAAGGAGCAGGAAATGAGGCCAGGCTGAGAGCCTCAAGTAACAGGATACAGAAAAGGGAGTCGGTGAGGTTTGTAATCCACGGAGAGCACTCCTCAAGATGATGCAACCGGGAAGAGAAGGAGTCCCTAGAGTTTGAAAGTTTGTGTCTCCCCCACCCCACCCCACCTGCAAATTCATATGTTGAATCCTAATGCCCAATGTGATGGTATTAGGAGGTCCTTAGGGAATGAGGGTGGAGCCCTCATGAATGGGATTACTGCAAAAGAGACCCCACAGAGCTCTCTCGTCCCTTCCACCAAGTAAAGACACATGGAGAAGTCTACAACCTGGAAGAGGGCCCTCACCTGATCATGCCGGCACCTTGACCTAGGACTTCCAGCTTCCAGAACCGTGAGAAATAAATTTCTGCTGTTTATAAGCGACCCTGCATATGGTATTTTGTCATAGCAACCCAGTTGGACTAAGACAGGAGCCAAGAAGAGAATGCAGATCTAGAAGCAGCACGGTGAGGTGAAGGTCGGGGGTTGGCAGTACCTGGCCACTGGACAAGTTCCTTAATCTCTCTGGGTCTCTCCTTTGAAATGGGCATAATGGCATCTGCACTTCATGGCGTTGTGATGACGAGAAATCGTGCAGGCGCCTGGCGGGGAGGAGGCCCCCCGTGCCCAGAAGCCATGAGTAGCTGTGCAGCCGAGACCTACTTAGTCCCGCTGCGGTCGTGCAAATTCAACTATCTCTGCTCCGCATCCCTGCCCCCACCAAAAAAAAAAGTGCAAGAGGAAAAAAGGATTTCATTTTACTTATTGTGGTGTTGTAAGGATGGCCACCAACTCTCTGACACTCCTCCCATAGGTAGGTGGGTTCCGGGTCCCCTCCCCGGAGTTCAGGCAGGCTCTGTATAGCCACACAACGGAACAGTATTCAGCCTCAAAGGGGTGAAGCACTGACAGATGCTCCCTGTGGATAAACCTTGAAAATCCCATGCGAAGTGAGAGAAGCCAGACATAAAGGGTCTCGTGTTCTCTGATTCCATGGACATGTAATATCCAGAACAGGCAAATCCACAAAGACGGAAGGCGGGTCGGTGGCTGCCAGGGGCTAGAGGGAGAGGGAAATGGAGAAAACTGCTTGATGGATCTGGGACTTCCTTTTGGGGTGATGAAAATGTTGTGGACCTCCACAGAGGTGGTATTTGTACATCACTGTAAGTATACTAAAAGCCACTGAGGTGTTCACTGTAAACACGGAACTGTTCGTTTAAAAATAATTAATCTTATGTTATGTGAATTTCACATCAATAGAAAAAATAAATGTAGTTGCTTTTGTGGAGCATGACAAAGTATTTATCACAATCTGGGGATCTTTTTTCCCCCTCATACAGGGCTTCCAAAAACATTTTGCATTTGTCAAAAATGACACATGACGCATGACTGAGTGCAGAATATGAGAATAAGCCATTTTGACAAATTCAGTAGCTTTCTAAGTTTTACCAAAATGCTAAAATGATTTTTATCATATTAATTATTGGGATGTACGCAGATTATTGATTGGGATGTACCCAGTAGTTTTAAGTATCTTATATGTAGAAAAAAAATCCCCTAAATGTGAACACTCGGAATTTGGGGATTCCACCTAAAATCCTGCAGAGAACTGTTCTCTTATTAGGAGCATATGGATTAAAGGAGAACATTTTGAGGAACAGACATCCCACACACTAACATTCTTGGGGGGAAAGTGGTGAATGGGAGCAGGGAAGGAGTGAAGTTTGCTCCTGGAGCTTGCGTGTTGCATTCAGCATTCTCCGCAGTGCGAAGAAATGATGCATTGGGGGGGAGTCACCAGGAATGCTTTGGCAATGAGCTGGGTGCGTTGAGGGGGAATTCGGGGAATGGGGACACCGTGGAGTTCTGAGGCCTGACTCTCATGGTTTTGTGAGGGGTTACAGGCCCAGGAGAGCACCAGGGAGACAAATGCTGGTGCAAAGCTTTGAGAGGACAGGGCTGCCCTAATTCCAGAGAGCCGATGTCCTTTAAAACCTTGCCCTAGATTCACTGATCAGTCTCCAGAGCATAGGTTAGGGCTCTCGGAGGTGGGACTAAAAGCTTTCTTCGAGGATTGCCTTGGTATTTTGGGGATCACACAACCTATTTCATAAAGGTGGAGGTAAATGCAAATATACAGGCTATGGGTACAGGAATACCCCAATTCAGGGTCAGGGGACCTGACTTGCAGTCCTAGTTATGTCACCAACTGTGCAGTGTCAAGCAAGTCACTGAACTTCTCTGCTGCCCACTGTCGTCAAGTGAGGGATAGCCACAGAAGTCTTCACCAGCCACCAGTGTCACATCTGTGTCGTTCTAAGAAACACACAGTGAGGTGGTTTGGGTCATCTATAAGCTAGAAGCCTGGGGATGAGCATGTTTTATAAACTATAAAGAGTACGCAAAGATAAGGCATTTTTATTGGAGCTTGAAAACACAGGCACATTTAGTTCTCTCAGTCAACAACCATGTATGAGGCAACAGATCTTCAGTGAGCTCCGTGCTGGGTGCTGAGGATACAAGGAAAAGAGGATAAACCCCTCCTTGGAGGAGTCTGGAACTGAGAGAGCGTGACAGCCAAGTGCCGTGACAGCCAAGTGCCGCGACAGCCGGGGGCCATGTTGGGGTTGCACGTGTGCAGAGCTGGGGGGTGGGGGGTGGTCATTCAGTCTGAGTCCCAAAGGAAAAAAATCCAGCCAAGGCTCTTTTGGCTTCAAGCAATAGACATCTCTTCAAACTAGTTAAAGTGAAAAAGGAGCTTTTACAGCAAGGATTGAGGAATGTCATGGAACCCTAGCTCAGGAAATGAGTTACATAGCCCTGGGTTATTGAACTGGAACAGGACACTGGGAAGACTAGAGGCCCAGTGGCTCCCCAACCCCCTCTTTCCCCTCCTTCCCCTCCTCTCTCTCTCTCTCTCATTTCTCATTCCCTCTGTGTCTCTTCCTTTTTCTCTGTAGATCAGCTTCTTCTGCCTGCTCATCAGCTTGGAAATGACCCCAAAATGGCTGTCACAGGCTTCAAGCCTAGAATCCAGATACACTTCTAATACCATTTTTTTTGTTTTGCTTTTTCTTTGTGTGTTTCCTCCCTCCCTGGCCACAACTTACACAGAATTAGTTCAAACGCTAGAAAGAAACAGCGATCTGATTGACCCAGCCGAATTCTTGCATCCAGGACACTGAAGTCACGAGCCAGACGGTGGTTAGCTGTTCGGGGCTCAGGGGACCACCTCCAGTCCCATCGGCGGAGCAATACAGTCTTTGGGGCTCCCTCTTCCAAGGGCCATGGGCCAGGCAAGTTCCCCGGGAGTGTTGGGTTGGTTTGCTGTGTAATCTGGCGGAGGAGGGACAAGAAAAGAGGTGGAAAGGGAAGGAGGGCATACCTGGCCAGGGGGCAGCACGTGGGAAAGCCTGGAGGTGGGACGTTCCTGGCGGCTGGAGGCTCCTGGAGAGGCTCGGTGAGGGCCGCCTTCGTCCCCAGCTGCTGTCTGCACTAACCACACATCGGACCCCCGGTGGGCCGGGGGCACCAGCCAGTCAGAATGGGCGACAGCTGTGAACAGCGGGGATGGCAGAAATGCCTGCCTTGATGAGAAAACCTCCCCGTGTGTGCATGTGGAGGGAAGGCTGTGGCCCCCTCCTAGCCTTGCGGGGCCTCACCTCCTCCGCTACCAGACGCACTGCCCCGAGAGGGGAACCAAGCGTTGGCTCGGTGGGGCTCCGCCAGGGCTGCGTGTCACCCCCGGGTCACCTGTGGAACGCGCAGGGCAGCCGCCCCTTCCGGGGGCTTCCTGGGTCTTACTTAGGGCGCTCGGTCTGCCTGAGGAAGTTGAGAAGCCGCTCTTGCTTTTCTCAGCCTTTCGGAGAAGTAAGAGAAGGAGGAAGCTGAGAGTCGGAGGCCCGCTGGAGGCTGCGGAGAGTTCTGCGCCAGTAAGCACTACAAGCGTGGGAAGTTTCTTGAAAAGGCTTCTCAGCCTCTAGCGAGTCACCGCCGTTCTGTGCGGACAGATGACTCATTGGGGCTCCTCTCTGCCTCCGTGGGGGAAGCCAGTTTATCTGCGGCTTTGTGGACGGGGGTGGGGGCGAAGGGACTGGCGACTGGTACTGACCGAGCATTTCCTCTGTTGCAGACACTGTGCGAGCTGCCGCCGAGACATCGTCGTATTCAATCACCCCGAATTCCTGGTGACGGCTCTGTCCCGATGCTCGGGCTCCGCAGCCCGCATTCGGACCCACTACATGAACTTCCCCATTCTTAACATCCCCAGAGCCCACCTAATGCATAGGAAGATCTGGGGACTGTCAGAAAAAAAACATCCAACGCTTGGAAATAAGGCAGATGAGATGGACGTCTGCCTTCAATCCTTCAGTATAAGAGCAGGTCAAAGACCAGCTGACGACTGGCCATGGAGCTCCTAAAATGTGGCTGGTCTGAATTGAGATGTGCTGTTTAGTGAAAAATCTACATCAGATTTCAAAGACTTAGTTGGAAAAAAAAAACTAACATATGTGATGATAATTTTATGTTGATTACATGTGGAAGTGATAATATTTTGAAGGTATTGGGTGAAATAAGATACATTATTAAAATTCATTTCACCTGTGGCTTTTTTATTTCTTTTTTAAAACGTGGCTACTAGAAAATCTAGTTACAGTGTGGTTTGCATTATATCTCTATTGGAAACCTTGGTCCAGTGCAATGTAGTGCATCTCATTGTTTCCTATTGATCAGAAGTCCCAGACTTAGTGTGAGGTCACTTGCTAATTTGTATATTTTTGTCCAGTAGAGATGCAGGTAATTTCTGTTGACTAGAACAGAAAACCCCTAAGATTTACAGCCTGTTGGACATTAACCAGTTTTATATCTAACCAAGCAAATGCATCCTAATATTTTATTGTTAATTTGTCTATAAATAGTTTAGCTTTTCGTATGTCCTTTGTGCTGGTCATAATACCTTATTAGTTCCTTCATTATTAATGAGCCTTCAAAAATTCTTGATACATGTTCATTTCATATTTGTCTGAGATTTGTGATTATCTTTTAGAACAGCACTGATAGAAACAGAATGCAAACTGCATGTGTAATTTAGAATTTTCTAGCAGTCACATTAAAAAGTAAAATTAATCTTAAAAGTGTGTGTTATCTAACTCGAAATGCCCCAAAGATGATCATTTCTACATGTAATCAAGATTAAAACATGATCAATGAAATACTTTATGTTCTTTTTGCATCCTTCAAAAATCTAGCATGTCTCAGTTCGGACCAGCTACATTTCAAGTTCTTAGTAGTCGCACGTGGTGAGTGGCTGCTACCATACTAAACAGGGTGAGTTGTGACTCTCTCCTTAGAAGTAAAAGAATATGGCCAACAAATAAAGGCAGCTCTGGACATCTAGGGTTCGTGTGTGAGCTGGAAGGCAGCTGTCTCTGCAAAGACAACATAGGTCCAGGGGGAGCGAGAATGTACCTGGAACGATATTCCAGTCCTCAGGAAATCCTTATCTCACCTTCGGATACTTTCTTCCGTTCTGCCCCCCAACTGCATGGCCTTGAGCCGGTCACCTCCATTCTCTGGTTCTGTTTCCTCATTTGTAAAATGAAGGGGTTGAACTTGAAGATCCCTGAGGTCCCTTCTGGCATCCTTGTGAATATTCTCTGAATGTGCTTGGGTAGCACATTCTGCAGAAGGACGCTCTTGGAAGTTTTCAGGTACTTTTGAGAGTCTCCTTCCTATTGTTGGGTTTGCGTTCCGCAACCTCTACAATACGTGGTGCTGAGAGGCTGGAAACCGGATCGGGAGCTGCCTGCTCAACCGAGAAGGGGCTGCTCCCTTTGGGCAGGTGGGGAGATAAGAGTTACGACATGTAGGACTGGAGGCTTGCAAGCCGCGATGATCTTCCTCCGTGGCCTAAAAGTGTATTTTGTGGGGCGGGGTGGATCCCTTGCTTCGTGGAGTTCTGTAGTTAATCTTAAGCAATAGAAGATAAAGGAAGTTAATTCCCTTCTGAGGATCCTCAAGAGAGTGTGCAGGAAATTAGAAGTGAGGGTATACTAAAGAAGAAAGAGAAACTGCATACTGATTGCTCCTTTAAGGAGGTGTGACTAAGTCTTGACTTCTGCAGGTAAAAGTCACTGGAGCCTTAGGTTAAGACAAGGGATTAGTCTGTGGATGTTCCTTTTAAATAAATCGACGAGGGGAAACCAAACTGGATATGCCTTCCCCAACCTAACAAAATGTATGTCCCGTGGGGACCCCCCAATGAAATAAGAGAGCGGGCTTCCCGGGGGTACCGTGAGACTGGCCCCGCACACGAACGCATGGACGGGAGAGAGACGCAGAAGACAGAGGCCGGCCACGCCAGATTGGGAGGTGGCAGGTCTAATAAGCGAGGGAACTTACTTACAAGGCTTGTCTCGGGCGGCGGCAAGATGAGTAGATCTCCGCACCAGCCGGCCAAATCGTAAACATTTATATAGAGGCCTTAACTGGGTTGAGTCCGGGATATCTGTGGGTGTTCTCACCATCACAGCACTATCTCTAGGCTATGTCCGTGCAGCAGCCTCTGGGAGTGGGAAAGGCAAAAGAAGACCACATTGCAAGGGCACGGGAGGGGGTGAGGAGCCTCTGATGGCCAGGGTCCCGCCCCCGGGTCAACCAGAGGCTGGGTCCTCTCCAAGACCCCTCACAAGAACAAGGGCAGTAGAAAATCAGTGGCATGATTTGTGAGATGCTAGGGAGGTCTCCCCCACTGCCTGAAATCCCACCATCCGGGGTGCATTCAGAACTCCTTTGTGTCTGGAAGGTTAGTCTAATTTTAGGAGCTCTCTATCACAGTGCATGTAAATCTGGAGGCGCGGGCATCCTCGGGCTTCTCAGTTTGTGCATGGAAGCTGCGGGCAGCGGAAGCAGCTCACGCCTCATGGCCCCATAGGAAGGAACCCCAGCAAGCAGTGCCTGAAATACACGCTGTCCTTCTCCCCCGACGCTCCACAACAAGCTCCCTGGAGCTGGAGGATATTCATCATCCCTGTTGGAAAATCCAGGGCCCTACGCATCTTCTGGGGCTCCCACCTGCCTCTCCATGCCTACTGCCTGCCCTTGGCTTCCATGCATGAACCTTGGTTTCCACAGACATGCCTCCCACATTCCCCTCCCCGATTGTCCCTTCATGCATTCCCCTTCACCTGGCCTGCTCTCCCCCTCCAAACCCAGGCTCCAGCTCTGCTTGACCAGCCGGGACGTCGGATTCGGAGCAAGCAGGTTAATTCATCTAAACAGTTTTTTCAGTGTCAAGACGGGGAAACTATTATCAGCCCCATTAACCTCATAAGGTGGTAATGAGAATTTCCCGATTGTAAAAATGGTTTAAGATTTCAAAATGCCACACAAGTGTAAAGGATTACCGTAATAGTGATGTTAAAGGGCCAGCAAACAGGCACGTAAGGTAATCCTGAATTTTTAAAGTCTGCTGTGATGTCTTAGAAGGAATTTGATTTGTGGGATTGCTAACTCTGTGAAAGTGTGCCTGTGTAAAAGGTGTCACATCACTTTCTCATGAGGCAGGTGTGTTAAATGTGAGAAGGAGAGAAGAGCCTTCTGTACTTTTTCCCTGTTCCGTTTTTATCATGAAAATCTAGTAACAGTTCCTCTGGACTTTGGCAGATAAATCCACAGTAGATCGTTTTTTTCTTTCTTCCAGGCTAAGAGTCTTTGATGGGGAAAACATTGTATTCTGCAGTTCTAGAGAGATGACATGAATAAGCAATGACTTTTTTCTCTTTTTTTTTTAATGTCTTCAGCTTGTACACCTGAAGGACAACAGCAGCTGAAAACAGCCCCCCAGCCCTATCTGTGGAATCCCAGCTTCTTACAAATCCCCTTCCTCTTCTGGGAGGATGTCTGATTCCAAAGCCCATGGTTAGAATCCTTTTAACAGATGAGGAAACTGAGCTCATTAGCAAGAAAGTTGTCACTTGGACAAACTCACAAGCAAGCAGTGGAAGGTGGGCTGAGGCCTGATCTCCCCAGTGGCCCAGGACGAATGCTCAACACCAGATAATAGATTCTTTTCAAAGGCTGTTTTATTCACTTACAATTTATACACATGGGAGCTTAAAAGAATGATACCTGGGTCCTACCCCAGATACTGATAAGTAGAAGGTCTTGAGTAATACTGGGGTGATTCTAATGGGCAGCCAAGTTTAAGAACCACTGTTCTAGAGTTTTTATTCCTTACAACTCTACGACTCATTGTCAGTGTGGGAACAGATGGATATTGCTTCTCCCCACACCTGAGACTGCTTTTTCCAAATCAGGGCTTGCAAATTTCCACTGGGTCTACTATCTTCTTCCCTCTGTCACACACACACACACACACACACACACACACACACACACACATGGGCCCTAGAAGTTTCATTTGTATCACTGCTGTCACCAGGTAAATGTGGCTCTGGTCCCAGCCTGACCAGGTCACACCTAGAGACGAGCTCTACATTTTCAAAGACTAAGTCACAACAGAATCCTGAGACCACAAACGAGCATCAGAACTATGGCAAATACTCGATAGATCCAACACGCCAGTTGTAAGTCAAAAGGAGCAAAACAGATCCTAGTGGAGGTCAGGGAGCAGAAAAGGCCACAATTCCATGCCTCCATGTGAACAAGAGCAGGGCCCACCAATCCCGAGGATGGACACTTACAATAAAACTGACCTTGGACTAGAAGCCAAGGGCATTTATCACTAAAGTCCTTTCCAAATCAACCAAGAACTCAAAGGGATACTACTGTTATCAATATCCCTATGACATTTTTTTAATATTAAAAACCAAGTGGCTGTTAAAATACAAAACAAACTTGATTCTGGAAATAAGGTCTTGGGAACTGGATCTTCAGTTGCTTGTAATTGCTATGTCTCCTTAGTCTCCTTAATCTGGAACGATTTCTC